CTCTATTAGGAGCAGAAAAGGCTAAAATTGACAAGTATTTTCTTGCAAGTTTTGATATTGTGGAAAACAAATATTTATTTTCACACTACCATCTCAAAGAATTATTATTCTCAGTTACAGGCAATTGAGGTAATTCAAGATATTTATCAAATTCCGTTTGTCTATTTTCTTGAATAAATATATGAAAAAATGCCAACATTTTTGAATTTGAACCTAAAGTGTTAGAAGTTGCTGGTTCTACAAGTTTCGTAAATTGTTCACAAAGATTATTTAAAATTTGGCATCGAAGTTCCTACATAAAAAATAAATGTATTACTTTATTTTATTCTTAATGGCATTCAAACAATTAAAAGTACTATTTACACTATCAATATAAAGCAGCTTTTTGAAATGAGAATCAAAAAAAGACCTATATAGTCCAAGAGTTGAAGGTACTTCAAAGTTCTTTTTAAGATTGTCTAGTATATTATCTATTATCTGTTGAATGATATCATTTTTAGGTTGATAAATGCTAAGATGCTGCTTAAGATTTTCAATTGCTGAGATCACGAAACTCAATACAAGAAATTTTGAACTTTCAACATTTCAGTTAATTTATAGAATAGGTTTAAGATAATATCAAGTTCTCTACATATATCAAATTCAACATCAGATAGTATATTTCTTTTAGTTTTTTATCATTTCTACTAATATCTAATATATTGTTATTAAGAGTACTAAATAAATATCGAATTGAAAGTTGTAGTATTATTAAATAGTGATTAGTATGATAAATTGAATTCTAATCCTCCTTGATTTTTAATACATCTAGTAGATGTTTAATACTTCGATCAATTTGTTGTTGAATGTCTCTTAATTTTTGATGATTTGTGTTATTGTCTAAAATCTCAATTAACTTTTTTGACTTGTTTAAAATGTCTTTAGCATATGGCAATTCCAATTCAATGCTAATTTTTAAGATATTTGCCAAATATAGAATAATTTCAATTTGCATTTGTGACAAAGCAGTTTTCACATTATCATTATTATTAGTAATACTAATGATTTTTTCTTGAACTAATCCAAATTCAAATAATAGATGCAGAAATTTTTAAAAAGTTTCATTATAGCATGAGTTCCTGAAAATTTGATCACGTCGAGAACAATATCAATTAACTTGAAATCACTCATAATCTAATGACAAGATATTTCAACATAAGAATCTGATTAAACAACTAAAGTAAGTGCTACAAACTCCACAGTTTCTATTATTTTATTTTGAATAAGTCTGTTAATTTGATTATATGCATTAATAATTGTATTTCTTATAGTTTCACTATTGGGAATCATAAAACTTGAATCAAGTGAACTACAAAATTGTCTAAATTCATTATTATTAACAATGGATAGAGGAAGAGTACAAGAGAGAATTATTTGAATTAGATTCTGACTTTGTGTTAAATGTTGTGGGCATGAATTAAGATTATTAGATATTTTTCTTTTCTTTTGAGAAAGAAAAGCATCTAAATTAGCTAAATTTTTTCTTATTTTAATCACCTTCATTATATATTCTATTTTTAAATTTTCAGATAGGTATGATCATAATTTTAAAATAATATTTGAAATTTCTTTACTACTTAAGTTTGAAAACTTAGCAAAAATAATGTCACGCACTTTAATTGAAAATAAAAAAAGGGAACGAAACTTTCATTTTTACTTTCATGATCGAATAACATTTTTGCCATTTTTGAGAAATTTAATATTTATTAAAAAAACAAAAAAGTATTAAGTGAATTGTTTAGTTAAGAATTGTAATATATATACAATTTTTTTGATTTTTAATTATTAAATTACTTATTATAAATTAATATTTAAACTTAAGAATTTATAATTAATAATAAAAACAATATACAATTAATTCAGTAATTGATATCAAAAATTTACAATTAGATTAAATTCTAAATTCTCAATTAATTTTTTTAATTCAAAGAATTTGATCAATTACTCAATTATAATCAATTAATTAGCAGATATATGTCAGATACTATTTTGCGTATTATCAGGTGAAATTGTGGGAATTACTATCTATTTTTAAATAGCTAATGTGATCTGATTTTATTTTCATATTTGCTAGATACTGAAAAAGCAACCAAATTAAAAAATGAAATTTTTATATTATAAACAATTTATTAACTCATAAGAAAATACAAATTTCAAAGGATTATACTGTAAAATTTTATTGATACAACAGATTTTATTTTTAAGTGACAAATGTTCTTTAATTAAATTAGTTAGATAGCAATTGCTTATTAATAAAGTTAATATTGCTTTGCTCCCTAAAATTTATATAAAACTAGTATCAAATGTGTTATTGTCGTTGATTAATACAGAATCAATTAAGTCATTGATTATAAAGTAATCTTGAAGTTGGTAATATTGAAGGTAGTTTATATAAGGATTGTAAATAGATTGACCAGACCTCATATTTGAAGCTGCAACACTTTGTCTATATTTAGATGAAAAGTAATAGAGTATAAAACTTTTATGTAATATGAGTGTAAGATAACTATATGAGGGTGGTTCGATAGTTAAATTAAAAAAGCAATTGCTATTGTCTGATAAAGCATAAGCATTGTTTGTTTTTTGGATCTGTAACAATTTAGTATTTTTGTTCGATTTAATTTCTGTAGATTTGATAATATCAGCTATCAATAGAGAATGTTGTCTATAAGAAGTATTATTTGACCTTTTATATTTTTTGCTTTTTCTAATTAGAAAATATTTATAATTCGGATATAATAATTTCTGTTAATTTTTGCCAAAATTGGTATTCATGTTGATTAAATTTTTTAATAGCCGCTCATCTTTCTTTTGCGATTTTAGATGACTTTGAAATATTTTTACCAACTCTTTTTCTACTGTTATTATTTTTTTGGTGAATTATATTCTGCTATTATATTGTTACAAAAGATTATAAAACAATTTTGTGAATGTAGGATAGTTTAGCTCTAGTATTAACTGAAGAATTCCATAAAAGATCTATCCATTTTGTAGTCCTAATATCACCAAATTTAAGAACAAGTTTATTTACTAGTTCTTTTATTTTACAAGGTTTATTATTAATATTAATTTTTTGTTAAATGATAGATATTTAGCTTGACTCTCATTTTTCTATAGATGGTAAGCAAGAACGAAGACTATTATTGGCTTTTGACATAATTTACCATAATTTACATGATTTAAATCTTGAAATTCTGTAAAAGACCATGCTTATATAATACAATGCGATATGTAAGATCAGCTTTAATAACTATTTATTATTATTTAAAAATCTTTCAATAGACCAAAGAGATTGCCACAATAGCTGTATAATATCAATTGTTAAAAATTTAGTCTTATGTATTGTGCTAGACAATGCTAATTAATGTTGTTTTTAAGTTCATGTGTATTGTGAAATAAAATAACAAAACTCAATTGATTTGCTTATAAAAAGTATTTTTATTTAAACTTAGAGCTTTTATTAATTGTATAATTATATGTACTAGTTGAAATAAGATAGCAACAAAAAATTTTTTTTGAAACATTTTATAAAAATTTAATTTTTATTATGTAACTGAGAAGTAACTCTTACTATTTTCTTTGCAAAATGTGGCCAAAATATAATAAAAGTAAGCAAATTATTATGTAACCTATTCCAAAAAAAATATATTTGCTAAAAACTATTTTGTCTCTTTTTAGTATTCTGAAGCATAAAATGTTATTATTGTAGAGAAAAAGGACATAAATGGATCAACTGTCTTTATATTAATTGTAATAGTGATAATAATCATGTTATTAAAGGACAAGTCAGGAATTTAGCAGGTAGTTACTGTATTATGTATAGAGAACTTTCAGAGGATTATTATGTCCACAATTATTGCACTCATTGCAAGTTATCATTATTATTAAATGGAAGATATACTAGTTGTTACTATGTAATAATTGATTAAAATGTTTTAGCTAAAAAATTCTTTTTTAAAAAATTTGGATCTGTTGAATTGGTCATTAAAAGTATATGCGAGTATAAGCATAGTCGAGCGAAGTATATAAGATATTCTTTTCAAAAATTAAATATAAATATCTCTAACTACTAACCATAACCAAAGTTTAATATGATTTCTATTTATAAATTGGAAGGGATAAGCAATTATCTATTTTACTGAATCATCTGCTTTCAATCTGCTGATCAAACAATTAATGTTTCATCAAAATATGAGAAATTTAGAAACAAGATTGATAAATGCCAATTTTTAGAAGATGCATTCAAGTTATAAAATGTCTGATTTGAAAAAAAGAGGTGATTATTTTGATATTAAATCTTTTAATAGGTTACAAAAAAATTTAATGATTAATGATTTCAAATCTAATTATTCTACTTGATTGTATGCATTTATTTATTTTAAATTCTCTTGATCAAGTAAAAACTTTTTTAAATTCTTTTTGGTAATTCAAATGATCTGTAAATAAAAAATAAGTCAAACAAAACAAAGATTTATATTACAAAGCATTTATAAAATCCAAAATAAACTCTCTTATATATATTTATGAAGTCCAAAATTAACTCTCTTATACATATTTATGAAGTCCAAAATAACTTATAATGTCTTGTGACTTAATATATTTTTTTATATATATTTAATAACCTGAAATACTTTGAAGAGATCAAAGTTATATTTATGCACATTAAGTCCTATATTTTTATACTTTTTATTTATAACTGCCCAGTAATTTGTATTGTCCAGAATCCATAATTCACGTTTGCAAAATGAAGGTCTTGCTATTAAATTACAGTAAATTGTGTCGAAAATATAATTAGATTTAATCCTGTCTAATCACATATATTTATCTTTACTACTAAATATAAAACTATCTTCTGTATATTTGTACATATTATCACTTGACCAACATAAAGGGTTATAACCCTGATAAAACTATCTTCATTCTTTAACTTTCCAATCATGATTGTAGGCCCTTTATTATCACAATATCTGTAAAATTGCTTAGCTTTGTTTATATTTTTTCTTAATAATAAATTAAATTTGTATTTGTAATTTGTTGTTTCTTCTCTATCAATCCACGCATTAACTTTATGAATTGTTCTTTGCTTATGATTCTTGAGTCGATAGTTATATTTCCAAATTGAATAAAATTTTTAGTATTAAATTTTGAATAAATATTAGATACTTTATATAATATGCTTTTGCTGATTTTTTTTTTAAATTTTAACTAAAATTCTTCAAAATTTTTATTGTTTATTTGATCGAAATGTATTGATTTTAATATAATATTATGTTTATTCCATTCCTTATCTTTTAACCATAAAATTACTTTCATGAGAATTTGATATTCTTTTGCATTTAAGTTGTTTTGTGATATAACCAATCTCAAATGTTGAATAGGAATAGTTTGGAAATTTTTAGCTAAAAAAACTAGTGTAGATTTATTAAATATTATTTTTACAACTGTTTCTCACATATTATTATGATTTTCAGTAAAATTAAGAATTAATTACAAATCCTTGCTTAGTAATATTTCTATGTTATATGCAAAATATTGTCTTAAAATATCAAGATACGTATCTATACACATTTCATTAGCTAACGAAAATGTGTTTATAAATTCTTTAACTCCCTGTGAGGTATATTGCTTTTCAGAATAAAGATATTCTAATACATTATCTATGCCCTCTTTTGTCATATTTGTTTTCTTTATTATATAGTAATCATCATTTTTTTACAGGCCCACCTTATAGATAAAGCCTACTAAAATATTCAGATTATATCATAAGTATTTAGAAATGAATATAATAAGTTGTTTCACAGTTGTAACCCACTATTATTTTAGTGTTTGCAAATTCTTGATTGTTGTAATTAGTTTCAATTTTTTGTAATATGTTCTTTCTCCATACATCCATGATTATAAAATACAAGACTAGCTGGCTATAAAAATTACTTCAATTTTTTAATCTATTTATACTTATTAAAATACACATAATTATTTATTAACTTGCTATGAAATTAAAATTCAATTATTTAAATTAAAACAATTAGATTTAATAAGAAAACATCAAGGAATCGATTAAAGGAATCAGTTACAATTGTATTATTTTTAAAAAGTGTTAATCTGGTGAGAAAATAGTAAATACTTCTAATTCACATAGAATAGAATGCAGTTTTTTTTACTTAATCAATTCTTTTAGTAAAAATAATTCTTGTAAACTTGATGTTAAATTCATAGTATGATTGTTAAAAATAAATTGATTAACAAGAGAATTCAATTGATCAATACAATCAACAATATTATATACTATACGTACTGTACTGTAATTTAATTTCATGTTTACAATTAATTAACTTCTCTATAATTTAAATTATTAAATTGTATACCAAATTCAAACTTAATTTTAAAGTTTTTTCTACTTCTATGAAAATAAAAAAGTAAAATTTGCCTTAGGTAATTTTGTATAAAAAGTTTTATTATCTTCTTTTTTGAACTTTCATTCTCAAAACTATCATGTTCAAGTT